TTTTAATTTTATTTTTTATTTTATAAAGTAATTGGCGACATTTGATTACATTTAATATTTAAACCCAGTCCCACCACTATTACGCCTTCCCACCACAATATTTCAAATGCTTTCGTCCCGAATCCCATCCCTGCCCCAAAGCTGAACCTAAATAATACATTTTGCATTGTAATGAAAAATCACTGAAGATACTACAAAAAGTTTCCTTAGAGGAAAGAGTGTGAAAATTGTTGTATTTCGCCCAGGGGCCATTAAGCCCTTCTATAAGAGATCACTAACATGTTGTTAAAGGTTGAGTCTTGTGTGCCTATACACACACACACACACACATATATCTTAGAGGGAAATGTTTTTACATTTGCATATCTTAGAGGGAAATGCTTTTTACAGATATATATATATATATATATATATATATCTGTAAAAAGCAATTTCCCTCTAAGATTGGTTGTCTCCTACACACTTTGTTTTTAAACTTTATTTTTTACTAAATCACTGTAAGATACAGTTAGAAAGCTTTTGTGGTCAAGTTTTAGTTATTCACTGTTCCAATACCCAGTTCTCCACCAGTGTACACTTTCCACCACCAATATCCCCCATATCCCTCCTGCAACCACACCCACCTGCCCCCAGGTCTGCCTCTATGGCAAACACTCTTATTCTCTCTCTCTTTCTCTCTCTCTCTCTCTCTCTGTGTCTCTCTGTGTCTCTTTATTTTTAGGGCATTACGGATTGCAATACAGATATTGATAGGCCATCATATTTGGTCCTTCACCCACTTTCAGCATACATCTCTCATCCAGAATGATTCCTTTCAACCATCATCGTCAGAAGGGTCCCTTCTCTATCCCAACTACCCTCTCCCTCAGTCCTTGAAGCTGCTTCCAACCGTGGAGACAGGTATATTTTTAAGTTTGATTCTTATAGTTAGGATTTCATGCTTTCATTTTTATTGACTCTGTGCCTTGGATATATACATATACCATCCTTCAATACCATCAATATACCGAGGCCCATGGCATCTGCCTCCCACTACTTCTCTTCTGTCTCCTACTCCTCCCTCAATTTCTTTCCTTCCTGGTACTTCTACTTATAATTTAAGGCCAAAGATGATATAAGTATCCACACACTTTATACCTTATATTCCCTCATTGCATCCTCTGTTCCACAGACGAGTGAGGTCATCGTCTATTTGTTCTTCTGACTTCACTTAACATGATATCCTCCAGATCCATCCAAGTTGCAGAGAATTGCATGATTTCATCATTCCTTGCAACTGCAGAGTATTCCATTGTTTCATTTTGCTTATGTTTCACCTTAGGTTCTTCTATAAAGTTCTGTATTCCAGACCTGGATGTTTGGTTTGAATAGTAAAAGGATCAATCAGGAAATGTTTCTGTTAAAAAGATGCCATGCCCGCCCTATGGAAACCACCTAGATATGTATCTAGTAAAATCAGTTTTTCTCATTTCTTGTCATGGCTCAGACTAAAAGTCATTTACTAAGTCTTCTATTTCTCCTTTGCAGGAATTTTCATCTTTTAAAAATGAATATGGAATCACAATCCTCCTTCTGGCTTGAATCATTTCTTAGATCCTTGGTGGTCATAGAATGAAGCAAAAGCTCCTATAAAGTCCATATGTTTTGCTTGGTTTACTTACCTTTCTTTCCTTTCCTCTCTCCACTACAGTCCTGTGAAGACATTTGCCTTCAGATCTTTCCATATGCCTGTTATAAGGAGAGACTCCAGCTGTATCTGTATAAGTCTTGTAGGGATGAACTTTCAGTGGTCAAAACTAGAAAGATTTCTTTTGATTTCAGTCATGAACAATTTGTGAGGAAGGGGTAATGTTACTTGGCTCGCTAAACCATTTTAAATCATCTTTCTTTCCAACCTTCTAAAACATCTGTACTTGTTCATGCAACTGGCAGCACCTAAGTATTTACAGCTAATTGCAAGGCCTTCATCAGGTTGACTATTTACTATTCTTGAGGGTGAAAGAAAATTCTTCATATCAGAAAACTAGGTAAAATTTGGGGGAGTCCTAAGTCAATGGTGAAAAGGTAAAGGCCCTCCCGTTGTTCATCGATTTGCTCGAGCGGGCCCCATAACGTCTCCATTGGAGATTTTGTTGTTACTCTGTTTGGCATATCGAATACTTCATGGGGAGCTTGCCAGGCTCTGCCGTGCAGGCGAGATACTCTTGGTAGCTTGCCGGGCTCTCCGAGAAGGGCAGAGGAATTGAACTCGGGTCGGCCATGTTGGCTGTGTGCAAGGCAAACGCCCTACCGCTGTGCTAAGCATGATATGATGCATTCAGAATGCTTTCCTGTGCTCTCTCTTTCTGTCGCTGTCTCTTTACTTGCCTTTCTTTATTACAATTTTTCTCAGACTACTCCAAAAATAGGTCAGTTTCTTTCAACAGCTCTTTACTATGGCTACACTGAGGGTTCTGATTAGCCTGACTTGGGCCACAAATCCCTCCTGGAACATCCTTACCTGAATGAGAACTGTGTAGGACTGTGCTGGTGCCTCAACTGGCAATCAGGATCTTATACCCCATTAGAATAAAAAAGTGGCGAGACAGTCAAGGTGCATGCATTTGGTAACTGTTGTCATGGATCTGTGGTGAAGAATATAAAATTCTTGAATAAAATTACAAAAGAACTATTGCATATTTTGGTGACTTCCATAATATAGTATTATATTATACTATTAATATAATACTGTAGCAAGTGAAATGTTAAGAAAAACATGGCAGCTGTTAGAGAGGAGAACCTTGTGTTGGGTGCACGTATTTGCATTTTTTCTGAAAATCCAAACTGTTCTAAATAAACATTTATGTAAAATGGAAAGTGTCATGCTAAGTGAAATGAGTCAAAAAGAGAGGGACAGACATAGAAAGATTGATCTCATTTGTGGAATATAAAGTAACATAATGAGAGACTAGCACCCAAGAGATAAGTACAAGGAGGCTTGCTCCATGGCTTGGAAGCTGGCCTCACATGCTGGAGGAAAAGACAGCTCAGATAGAGAAGGGAACACCAGGTAAAATGTATTTGGGATGGGAGATGCTCACTGAAAGTAGACAATGGCCACTCAAAACCTCTATTGCAAACCACAATACCCAAAAGGAGAGAGAGAACAAAAAGGAATGACCTACTACAGAGGTGGGGTGGGGTGGGGCGGGGGGGGGAGTTGGGGTGGAGGGGCCGGGAGGGATACTGGGATCATCGGTGGTGGAGAATGGGCATTGGTGGAGGGATGGGTACTCGAGCATTGTATTACTGAAACCCAAGCACGAAAGTTTGTAAGTTTGTAACTGTAGCTCACGGCGATTCACCAATAAAAACATTTAAAAAAAGAAATGATAAGTAGAAATTAAAAAGTATGTAAAACATCACTCAACTGTCGAAGAAAAAAGGTAAAATTTATGCACTATCATGGAGATGAGAAAATCCATCCCTGATGGTGAAAATAAACAAATATCAAAGTTTTTTGTACAAACAGAGGAAATGTAAGAAAATTGTAATGTAAAATTCATTCCAATATATTGAAATTTAAGAAATGTTTCTCTTGGTCTAGGAGAGTAGATTGTAGAGTGGACAAGGTCCTTACTTTGTCTGTGAATGACCTGGTTTTATCCCAATACCCAATACTGTGCCTCATCCCCATCAAGACTGATCTCTAAGTGCAGAGCCAGGAGTAAACCCTGAACACTGTCAGACTGTATCTCCCGAATAAAATATTAAAAAATGCTCTTCTTGGGTATTGAGATAACACAGCAGGTAGGGCATTTGCCATGCACAGGGACAAACTGGACTCAATCCCCACTTCCCATATGGTCCCTAGAGCCCCATCAGAAGGGATCCCTGAGCACAGAGACAGAAGTAATCCCTGAGAACCACCAGCTGTGACACAAAACCCAAAGAAGGTGGCAGGGGAGAGGGGATGCTTTACTTATTATGCATGTATATACTAGTCAAAAAAAGCAAAGCATGATCCAGGACATACTCAATGGTTTAGTTCTATTTGTGTATAGATTTGCTTTTGTCAGCTGTGCTATTTTTATAGACATGTCACAATTATTACAAAAATTGATGAGATACAAATGAATTGACGTGCCTGTAATATCCAATTATTATGAAAAGATGTGGAAAAAGACAAATTACTAATAAAATTGATGTTGAATTAGGGTTCTTGAGAAAATGCAAATAATTAAGAAAACTTTATTTGAATCTACATGAAATTCAAATTCAGAGCTCTTTCCAAGTGTTTAAAGTGTCAGCTTTAGGGAAAAAAAGGGGGACTTGTAGACAATGTATAGCAAATACATTTTATGTAAGGAAAAAGATTCTATCTGCAATAATGGATTCATAAAGGGAAAACTGTAAGTGAAAAGATAGGTGGTCAAATTCATATATTTTTAAATAATTGAACATTTAAATATGTTTAATTAAGAAAAAGTCAATTGTTGAGTTCTTTTTAGCATGCCAAAGCCCATTACGTGTGTTATATTTTTCTCTGAATGCAATTAGCCTAAATATAAATGTATGCTTTTTGATTGCATTAAGTAAAAATTTAGGAAGCACTATTGTTGGTTTGTATAGAATAGATTTTTACAGCTGCTATTTTCTATGTGTCATTATTATTTGGAAAATGTATTAGTTTTCTGAGATGAGCCATTTAAAATGAGAAAAAAATATATTATTTAAGCTGATGTGCAATTCAGAGGTATGGAACTTTATAAAAATTCCACTGTTTTCATATTTTTAGGAATTTCCTGCCATATGTTTGTTTCTGGACTGGAGCCACTATATCCAAAGATTGTTTTATGAATCATTCACTCTGGACATCACCCGTTATAAAGCCCTTGTGTGCTGACCACTTGCTGATCTGACTAATAATGAGTGATATGACTCTTACCACTTCTCTTGCCATGAAAAAAAGTTCCTTAGATAATATTTTCTTCTTTAAGGATAGGTCTGTTACCACTACGTGGTTCCACTGGGGCTCGAACCCAGGACCTTCTGCATGTAAAGCAGATGTGATAACCGCTACACTATGGAACCCCCAATGGAGACGTTACTGGGCCCGCTCGAGCATAGGATAGGTCTGGATTTGCTACTGCTGAAATAGCATATGAACAAAGCCATTTCCTATGTTCTCTATCTTTTTCCTCCCTGTTATTCTCATATAATCTTGTTCCACTCAATTGCATGTACCTTTCTACCCTACACATTTATTATCTCTTGATTTGAGTTTGAGATAGTATAATACGTGAATCCTCACTCTGTCATAAGGCCCTCCCGTTGATCATCGATTTGCTCAAGCGGGCCCAGTAACATCTCCATTGGAGACTTTGTTGTTATTCTGTCTGGTATATCGAATACTCTCGGTAGCTTGCCGGGCTCTCCGAGAGGGGCGGAGGAATCGAACTCGGGTCGGCCATGTTGACTGCGTGCAAGGCAGACGCCCTACCCGCTGTGCTATCGCTCCAGCCATAAATATGATCCAATCTGTAACACATGTTCAAAATATAAATTTTAAGATCTAATATTTTTGCCTACACTTTTCTACATGAACACTTGGAGGGTTGTTCTTTTCAACTTACTATTGTCATGCATGTGCAATACTTCACCCCAAGGGAGTATGATTTTCCCAAGTTCTTTTATTGCAATATGTTTGCTGCAATAGTTTACAGTTTGAAGAGCTTTGTCTCCACATTATGGTTATGGGCTGTTTTTAGTCTCTTCTGTTTTTATATGTTTTTGGCTGAACAGTAATTTCTGGCTAAGTATTGTTTCAATACTTCCACTACAATAAGTTTTCTACTTCTCTATAATTCCTACCTAGTCCTAATGTATTAGTTACTTACTGAATTTCAGATCACTCAGTGAACGAATCACTAACAGTCTCTTTTCTCCACTGCATATATATGTTATGATAACAGCATCCTTCTCCTCTAAGGAAACTACAGGCTAGAGATGGTCAAAAAGGCTATGCCTGCATCAGAGTAGATATCTTTGCTGTTATCTTCTCGTTATCACTGATTCCCATCTGGATTTGAAGCCACATTTCTCCTTTTAAGTCCTTCCTATCCCCTTTGTACCACCTATGAAATGTCAACTCCATTCTCAGTGTGTAGGATTCTTTAGACAAAACATGCTGTGATGTTTACATTATGGTAAGGAAGACATAGGCTATAAATAATAAATATCATACATTAATCAATGATTATATGTATATATGAGAGATGAATTCTTTGGGAACAAAAAGTAGAGGAGCAGAAAGGGTCCTTATGGGTGTTGGGGCTTGGTGACTGAAATTTTAAATGCACTTGTAAGAATATTTTTCCTTTGGAAAGTGGCATGAAAACAAAGCCATGAATGAATTCTATGTTAAGAGTGTTCTGATACTGGCAACAGCTGGTGCAGGAGATTTAGGGAGTTACCTGAGTTAAGGGCAGAGTAGAAAAAATTTCAGAGCGATAACAAAGAGGTGAGGTTTTCTGTAGATTACAGCAGTATGTAGATACAGTGCCCTTCCTGTGAGCCATGGATAGCAAGCCCAATTTTCATCAGTATCTTTATTCCATCTACTTTAAAAGAAAATCATCACTGAGCCAGAGGGAATTCTGCTGGCCAAATCCTGCGGCACACATATGCTAGAAACATTCAATCTTGTTTCTAGCAAGACTTGGCATAATTTTGAAACTGTTCAATCAACCTAGTAAATATGAATTAAACATTTATAGTTGTATTAAATATTCGAAAGATAGGAACCAAAACAGTCTATCAAGTAATTGTACATATTTGTGCACTTACAAAATGCATATTCATGAGAGCTATGTAAATATATACTTAGTCACTTCCTCTTCCATGTGAAGCGCTGCAGCAACTGAACTGCAGATGGTAAGTTTCTTGCATATGCTTATGAGAATGGTACAGCAAACCACTTAGAAATTTTTCTCAGGAAGAGATCACTAACTGTTTGGCCATTCTGTGTGTTCAGTGCTCTTAGAACAGAGGAGAAGAAAGTTCTAGAACACACCAGCCCTTTTAACAGGCATCTGATAGGTAATAGCTATTCTGAAGATACGCTACTGAAAATAAATACAATATTGGTCCCCATGGGAATTATATTTGCACTATTTATCCCCCAATTCACAAAAGGGAAGATGTTCATGTGAGCGTCACCTAAGTTATTGGTCTACTGACTATGAAGTGTTGGCCTCAAACTATGACAACCAGTGGACATGTTGAAATGCTGGAGAGTGAGGCTAATAATATTTGGAGGTTAATAAGCAATTCATTCAATTTATTAAAATTGGTTCCAAATTCAGTATGATGTTTATTAAGATTGGCATGGCTGGCATGTTATGGGTCCTGTAGCTTCTTCTGCGGTCTTCCTTGGTAAGAAGATTGTAGAGGAAAATAATTCTAATTTTGTCTTGAGTGAAGTTTTTCCTTGGAATTAAAATTAAATTAAAAAAATCTGTTTCTAGAGCCTATCATAGAGGCAGATAGGGGGTAGGGTGTAGGGGGTGATGGGAGGGAACCTGGGGACACTGGTGCTAGGAAAGATGGAGGGATGGGTGTTGGAATACGGTTTGACTGAAATCCAATCATGAACAGCTTTGTAAAAAAATTAATTAAAAATGTACACAAAAAAAGAGAAATCTGTTTCTAAATTCTCTGATATTCCTTCCTAATTGTCAATTCACTAATTCAGCAAAGATTCTGTGAAACCCAGTATGTATGGAGCATAGCACATTGTCTCAGAAACCCACAGTTCTTTCTTTTTGTGTGTGTGTTTATTTTTTTTTTATTTTTTTATTAGTGAAACGCCATGAGGTACAGTTATAAACTTACAAACTTTTGTGCTTGGGGTTCAGTTATACAATGATCAAGTACCCATCCCTCCACCAGTGCCCATTTTCCACCACCACGGGTCCCAGTGTCCCTCCCACCCACTATCCTCCCATCCCACCCTGCATCTGTTCTCTCTCTCTCTCTCCTTTTGGGCGCACACCACAGTTCTTTCTATGCCTTCCTTTGTTCCCACGTATTTTGAGGCTGTTGAAGAGAGATGGTAAAGATAGTTTGAAAAGTAGAAAAGAAAGAGGGATACTAAGAGATAGAAGCTTTTTATATCCCTAAATTATGAGTAGATGACTTCCTCTGCTCTTTATTCCTGACAAAAATAGGCAAGAATGACACCCTTAAAGATGGACACAGGCCCTCACTAGTTAGTAGTAGTCACTGACCACATGGAAATTTGTTCTGTGAGCAGGGCTGTTACTTAGGAAGCAGAACACAGGATAACTCTAGATAGAATATATATATATATATATATATATATATATATATATATATATATGTCCCGGTGTCTCTTGGATTCTCTCTTTTGGAGACAAAGAGTGCCTGTTGGAATTTAGGACTACGAAATGATCACTGGGCTGAGTAGACATATGTTTAGTCAGCTTGAGGTGACCTTCCTCAATTTTTTCCCTATTATTTAGACTAAAAGTCAAAGTTCTCACTCTGCTTTATGGGGTCCTTTATGATCTACCCCCAAAATCCTTGTCTTCATCTCTCACTAGTTTTTCTGTAGTTTTTCTCCCACAGTCCACAGGACTCCTTGATACTTCTTGAACGTCCTTTGTTATTTTGGAAAATCAGTATTTTGAAAACAACTGAACTGTTGCTTCCTTGCCCAGCATGCTTTGCCTATGAGTTGTTGGGCGGCTTTCCTTTCCTCTCTGATCTTCATTAGAAAATTGTCTTCTCAGTGGGATCTTCCATGACCATCTTATTAAAAATCTCAATGGCCTTCCCAACATTCTTTTTCCTTTTCTTGGCAGTTTCTTCTTTTTTTTATTTTACTTTTTTTGGGGGGAAGGGCTGGTCACACCTGGCCATGCACAGGAATTACTCCTGGCTTTGCACTCAGGAATTACTCCTGGCAGTGCTCGGGGGAGTATATGGGATGCTGGGAATTGAACTTGGGTTGGCTGCGTGCAAGGCAAATGCCCTACCCACTGTGCTATCACTCCAGCCCCCCACCTTGGCAGTTTCTTCTAGGCACTTACTACTAAATCATTATACTTTTACTTCTTTTTCTTCATCAGTGTCTGACTATCAACTATAATTTACCTTTCACAAGTGCAGTTTTTATTTATTGAATTACCATAAGCTACAGTTACAAAACTTTCATATTTGAGATTCAGTCATACAATGATCGAACACCCATCCCTCCATCAGCATACATTTTCCACCACCAATGCTCCCAGTATCCCTCCCACCTACCTGTCCCCCATTTCACCCCTCCCACTGCCTCTATGGCAGACAATTTCGGGGAGAAAGCAGCTGGAATGGAGAAGGGATCACTAAGTGCAGTTTTTTTAAAGTCTATTTTATTATTGCTGTAGTTCTTGAAGGGTGCCAGCTGCATGGTAGAATTTAATATTTACTGGATGAATCAATGACCACATTGCAAGCGCAGATATTTCATGGGGAAGCAGAAGAAAGACATGTTACACAGAAAAGCTACCATGTAGGCAGAGAAGGAGGAAAATAGAAGTGACATTTTCTGAAAGCTTTCCAGCTCCCACTTCCCACCTTTAGTATCCTGAGGTTTTAGTTCTTTTCCAAGGAGTATCCCTGTAAATGCTCCCTTTTTCTTAAGCTACCTCAATTGGAATTGTCTTTAGTGCTATTAAAACATTGCTAAGCAAAAGGAATAGTGTGAAATCAGAAAGCTCTAATGGCTTTCTAAGAATGTTGGGTGCTTGGGTGATGGGGTTCCCATGCAGGGAAACAGCTTTGTGGCTTTTTCTTTCCTCTATCTACTTTTGGGCATTATGGTCTGCAGTACAAATACTGAGAGGTTATCATGTTTGGTCCTTTATCTACTTTTAGCACACATTTCCCATCCTGAATAATTGGAAGGAGAAAATTTTGAGACACACCAAGCAATGCTCATGATGTAGCTCTGGCTTTGTGCTCAGGGATCACTCCTTGTGGAGCTTGAGTCCTAGGAGGACTATATGCAATGTTGTACATAAAAC